TCATAAAGTAACTTATATGGGTAAAGTGTGTTGTGAGTGTTAATACCTTCTTGAGCCACAATTAATCCTTTACTCTCGAATCTCTAATAGAATTAGTATACTTAGGTTTTTTAGTGGTTTTGAACTAAACAACTAGGTGACGAATTCAAATGATTTTTATGCTGCGCATCCATGTACGACAACAATAATACATAAAAGGTAACATAATAATATATAAAAGATAACACAAGAACCCTCGTCACAAAATAAAAACATTTACAAACATTTTAATGAATTGTTTTAAATCGCTATATTTTTTCTATTATATTAATTATATTAATAAGGTGTCAATTGTTTTTTGGTTGCAAATGGTAAAATTTATTGCGGTGAGATGTTAATCAATTAAAATTAAATTTAATGATATTAAGTGTACGCCAATATGTTAAGGCTATATCATTTATCTTAAATAAATAATAAATATGTTAATTTTGTATTGGATTAAGTTTGGATCCAACCGATATAAAATAAAATAAGAGGTCCAAGTGTATACGAAGCAGATCAACAGGTACGAAACTAAAGCCTCTCCCAATTACCAAATGCCCGCAGCAAACCACAGCTGCAAGTGCGAAGCATATTTGTTAAACCTGTATGCTAGATGGAACAAACAAAACTCAGGGTTCAAAGCTAGAATTGAATTGAATTTTTAATATATTATTGATTTGATGAAATTTAATTGGAAATATAATAAATAAAAATAAATAGTAAATAGTAGTAAATAGAAATGGATTAATAAATAGTGGGCTCCATAGTTTCTATGGTTATTTCCTTAACGGCAAGGTCCTCTCTGGGCACCGGAGCCCCTTACTTGATCGAATCAATGCTATTGTTAACTTTCCTTGAATTTCCTAGTAGTTTACAGTAACAGTACTATTTAATTATGCGGATTAGCTACTTGTTGCATCAAGTGATTTTTTGAGATCATTTCCCAATTGAGGACGACAGACTACGGGAAAGAGGAGATTGGTTGTGGTGGGGATTGAAGCTGTGATTTGGGATCGCTTCAGGATCTTCTGCTGATAGGTTTATCCAGCAGACTTCAAGAGGTAAGAACCTGCTCTTATATATCATGCAACTCTTATATATCATGCAAAGAAATGGATCAGATCAGAGTTGCTAAACATGAAAAGAGAACAAGAGCTAAAGCTGCATGAATTAACAGCTTAATAAAAAGAATACAGTTTTATTGTGATCTTTTGCAAATAAAAAAGAATAGAAAAAGGCAACAAAATTCTTGGAGGCATGGAAAGAGGTATAAATGAAAGAACGGTATTGTAGTAATTGAACCAAGAGTCTATAAATATAAATAGTAAAAAATAAAGAGCTCTGAATTTTTAGAAAGAAAACCGTGAGTGAAAAAAAGAAGAAGAGGAAAAGATAAAGAAAAAAGAAGAGAATTGGAGAAAATAAGTTAAAATATAAGATTTATATTTTGATGTGTATAAATGTGTTTTTCTTGGCTTTAATTTTCTGTTTTTTTGAATATTTGAGTTTTGAAAATTGTGTTTTGGGTTTGATTGATAAGTTGATTTGAATATTATATGTTGATTGTTATTGATAATGAGTTATATAGTTGATTTTAAAAGATTTTAAGTAAAAATAATGATTTTAAGTTATGTTTGTTTTAATGATGAATTTGAGTTAGAAATCTTAATATTTCATTATGTGATTTGTGAAAATTCTAAGTTTGAGGTTGAAAATGATAAAACTTCAGTTTGCTCATTCAATTTGTGAAAATTTCAATTTAATTCCAAGATTCTATATAAAATGTAATATTGAGAAATTCTATATAAAATATAATGTGTAATATTGAGAAATTATAGTGACATGTTATTTATAATTATCACTACATATTTTTATCGAGTTTTTCATTTCAGTTATTTATCTTTTAATTCAACTCTTATCCTTAAAACAAAATGCAATTGAGTTTTAATTTTAGCATTAAGAAATTCAATTATGTAAAAAAAAATTAATAATTCAAACACCAAATTAAAAATTAAAAAAAAAATTCACTATTAACATCCACATCCACAATAAAATAAGTCTCGGTAAATAATAATAAATAAAAAACTCTTTTATCTTTTAATATATACTATAATTTAGTATTGTGACACATATTTTTTTGAATAATTTTTTATTTAAAAATATATTAAAATATTATATATATATATATATATAGTAACAAGAAATATTAAAAAATATATTAATTAAACATTTTTATAAATTAAATATAATTATAAAAACCACTCTGACACAGTAAAAAAACAAATAGCCTCCTTTTCATACTAATTTTCATCTTCTATTTTCTACGAGACTGGCTTTCTTCCTTCTTTATCCCATTCCTTTCTTTCTTCTTTTATCATGCTGTGATTTTAAGATTTTTATTTTAAGTGTTTGAATAAGTAGTTGTTTTTTAAATATTTTTTTATTTTATAAATATATTAAAATAATATTTTTTTTATTTTTTTTAATATTATTTTTAATATCAATATAAAAATAAAAAAATTAATTTAGAATAAAAAAATAATTTTATAAAAAAATAATTTAAAAAATAAAAAACAAACGCTATTTCTCTCCTTGTTAGCTGCCGTGATTTCAGGTCCTCCTTTCTTGCCTTATTTGCAAGAGCATGAAAAAATAAAATAAATAAAATCAAACGAGCATGTATAGAAAAATACTATCGTAGTCTTTCCTTTTCTCCTCTATTTCCACCTCCCTATCTTATCTCTACCGTGCCTTTCCTCTCTGTTTTTTTGTTTTTTGAAAAAGCCTTTTAAGCTTTTTCTCTCCCACTTTCTATCCTTTCCAAGCGGGTAGATAAGGTTGAACACTTGGCGATCATCTATTAACTTTTGAGATTACCGTTATCTCCGTGTCGCAGTATAATCCAAGTTGTTTGTTTGATGTAAAATATGTTTTTTTTTTAAAATAAATTTAAATTATTTTTTTGATATTAGATAATATTATAAAAAATAAATTGAAAAATATTTTCTACTATTTAGTCATATTATGTAAAATAAATTGAAAAATAATAAGAAACATATCTTATAAATTAAAAAGTTAAATGAGAATGAAATTTTAAAAAATATAATTTCATAAATTACCTTAAATAAAATAAATAATAATAAAAAAATCATATCTAAAAATAAAAAAATTAAAAGATGATGAGATTAAAATAATTATAATTATAATTTTATAAATTATTTCAAATAGAATAAGTAATAATTAAAATAATAAGAATTAAATTTGATAAATAAAAAAATTTAATTAAAAAATAAATAAAAATTATAAAATGAGGACCAAATTTAATATAAAAATCAAATTCTATGAAGAAAAATTGAAAAAAAAAATTCTTAAATAATAAGTAAATTTTTTAAAACTAAATTTGTTATAATTAATAAATAATATGATATTTCTAAACTTTTTATATTTTTTTAAAAATATTTTACATCTAAAAAAAATACTTTTCTGAAAATCCTTAAGATTTAAAATTCTCCTTTAATTTACTCACGTTGTCATATTGCTCCTTTCTTATAAATTAGTTTTTTTAAAAAAAACTGAAATTTTTAATTATAATTTGTAATTATAATTTCTTATGTAATGTAACTGTAATCCCTAGCATAATGCATATTCTAGGGCAAGCACATCAACTCAAGAGCAAAGCAACTCGATGAAATAGCAAAAGAAAAAGATTTGAAGGACTGAAATAAAATAAAACCACAAAAGAAGGATGAAGAAATTAACCGCAATCAGGATGCCACCCAAAACCTAGTTCTTTTAGCTTTTATTTATTTATTTAATATTGTAATAGGTTAATCATATTACCTCATTGAGTGTGACACAGAGATGATCATCATAGATATAATTTATTTTTAATTGCTTGAGTTTCATCCTTTATTGTGTTCATTCCAGTAATTCTATTTCTTTGCAAGTCTTTTCCTGTTTTTTTTTTTTTTAATTTAAAAAAAAGAAAGAATAAAACCAAAAAAACTTTGACCGAAAACTTTGACCGATCATAGCTTAGATTAGTTAATTATATTTGTGGTTGGAAGCGGGCTGAGTGATTATCCTGGACCTTTCACTCGTTTCTTTCTTTTATACCTTTTTTTTGTTTGTTTGTCTGTCACTGTCTCTATATGATCTTAATTATGTCATCAAAATGCATTTTTAATGGGAACTACTGCTTTAACTCACAAGTGTCAGTTAGAATTCTGATACCTTGCCTTGTTGCTTTTGAAGCTGGATTCCATGCAGAGCTAAAGGCCTTCTCCTTTTCTTCCTCCCGCTACTATTTCATTGAGCACTCAGTACCAGTGCTTTTCGCACATATTTTCCCAAGTTAAGGTAATGAAATTCCTATTCCCATTCTCTCTGCGCCTCTTTTACTTGTAGTGACTCACGCTCACGTTCCGTATCCTTATTTCTCTGATTTTCAGACCTGTGGAAAATGGCTATCGAAAGTGCTTGTGGATCCATTACAACTATGCTAGCAGAACTCATGGTGGAACCAGTAAGAAGGCAGTTCCGTTACATGTTCTGTTTCCACCATTTTGTTAAAGAATTCAAACAACAAAAGGAGAACCTGATTTCGGCAAAAGAACGTCTGCAAGACGATGTCGAAGTTGCTGAAAGGAATGCTGAAGAAATTTACGAAGATGTGAAAAAGTGGCTGAGAGATGCAGAAAACGAAATTGAAGGTGCGGAGCCCTTGGAAAATGAAATAGGAAAAAATGGCAAATGCTTCACTTGGTGTCCAAACTGCATGCGACAATTCAAGTTAAGCAAGGCACAGGCCAAGAAGTCGGAGACTTTCAGAGAACTTTTAGAAAAGAATTTTACAAAAGTGTCCCACAGAGCTCATCCTCAGCCCATAGAATTTCTCCCATCAAAGGAATTCACGCCCTCAGAATCGTCAGAAGAAGCTTTCAAACAGATCATGAAAGCTCTCAAAGATGACAACGTCAATATGATCGGACTGCACGGCATGGGAGGGGTGGGTAAAACAACCCTGGTGAAAGAAGTAGGCAGGAGAGCCAAAGAGTCGCAGCTTTTTCCTGAAGTTTTGATGGCTACGGTGTCCCAGAATCCAAATGTCATAGGCATCCAGGATCGAATGGCAGATAGTTTACATCTGAAATTTGAAAAAACGAGTAAAGAAGGTAGAGCAAGTGAATTATGGCAGAGACTGCAGGGAAAGAAGATGCTTATAATCCTGGATGATGTTTGGAAACATATTGACTTGAAAGAGATAGGGATCCCATTTGGTGATGATCACAGGGGTTGTAAAATTCTTCTAACAACACGTCGTGCAAAAGCATGTTCTTCTATGAAATGCCAGCAAAAAGTGTTCTTAAGAGAATTACCTGAAAAAGAAGCATGGGATTTATTCAGAATCAGTGCAGGTTTAGATGATGGGGACTCTACCTTGAACGAAGTGGCAAGGGATGTTGCGAGAGAATGCCACGGCTTGCCAATAGCACTCGTGACAATGGGAAGGGCTCTGAGAGATGAATCTGCAGTTAAGTGGAAAAGAGTGTCTAAACAGCTAAAAAACTCTCAATTTCCGGACATGGATCAAATTGAAGAAAAAAATGCATATGCATGTCTTAAGTTGAGCTATGATTATTTGAAGTCCAAGGAAACCAAGTTATGTTTCTTGCTATGCTGTTTATTTCCAGAAGATTACAACATTCCAGTCGAGGACTTGACGAGATATGCAGTTGGCTATGGATTACATCAAGATGGGGAGCCCATTGAAGATGCAAGGGAACAAGTTCATGTGGCAATCAAAGACCTCAAAGCTTGTTGTTTGTTGCTGGGCACTGAAACTGAAGAACATGTGAGAATGCATGACTTGGTTCGTGATGTTGCTATTCAGATAGCATCATCAAAAGAATATGGATTCATGGTGAAGGCTGGCATTGGGTTGAAGAAGTGGCCAATGGGCAATAAAAGCTTTGAAGGTTGTGAAACAATTTCGTTAATGGGCAATAAACTAGCGGAACTTCCTGAAGGATTGGAATGTCCAAAGCTCAAAGTTCTATTATTAGAAGTGGATTCTGGTTTGAATGTTCCAGAGAGGTTTTTTGAAGGGATGAAAGCAATTGAAGTTTTGTCTCTTAAGGGAGGGTGTTTGTCATTGCAATCACTCGAACTCTCAACGAAACTTCAATCGTTGGTGTTGATGGATTGTGGATGTAAGGACCTCATTTGGTTGAGAAAGCTGCAGAGACTAAAGATTCTTGTTTTTCAGTGGTGCTCATCCATTGAAGAACTACCTGATGAAATAGGAGAGCTCAAGGAGTTAAGGTTGTTGGATGTGACAGGTTGTGAAAGGCTAAGAAGGATCCCTGTGAATTTGATTGGAAGGTTGAAGAAGTTAGAAGAGCTGTTGATCGGGGATCGCAGCTTTGATGGATGGGATGTTGTCACCAGCACAGGAGGAATGAATGCAAGCCTAAGAGAACTACATTCGTTGTCTCAGTTAGCCGTATTATCATTGAGGATACCGAAGGTCAAATGCATTCCCAAAGATTTTGTTTTTCCAGTTAGCTTGCGCAAATATGATATAATATTAGGGTATGGGCTTCTGCCAGGACGATACCCAACCTCGACAAGAATAAGTTTGGTTGGTACATCCTTAAAGGCGAAAACATTTGAGCAATTGTTTTTACATAAATTAGAATGTGTAGGAGTGAGGGCTTGTGGGGATGTTTCCACTCAGTTTCCAGCAAGATTGCGGCAAGGTTTAAAAAATCTAAGGAGGGTGGAAATTGAGGACTGCAAATCATTGGAAGAGGTATTTGAATTGGGTGAGGCTGATGAAGGAAGCAGTGAGGAGAAGAAGCCGCTGCTGCTGTCATCTTTAACAGAGTTACAGGTGCGAAGGTTACCTGAGCTCAAATGCATATGGAAAGGGCCCGCCAGACATGTCAGTCTCCAAAGTCTTGTTCGCCTGAATTTGGATTCTCTCGACAAACTGACATTTATCTTCACACCGTCCCTCGCTCAAAGTCTGCCAAAGCTGGAAACCCTTCACATAAGAGATTGTCATGAATTGAAGCATATTATCAGAAAAGAGGATGGTGAAAGGGACATAATTCCAGAGTCTCCTCGCTTCCCAAAATTAAAAGATATCTTCATAGAACGCTGTGGTAAACTGGAATATGTCCTCCCTGTCTCCGTGTCTCGAACTCTTCAAAGTCTGCCACAGCTAGAAACACTTGAGATAAGTTTTTGCGGTGAATTGAAGCATATTATCAGAGAAGAGGATGGTGAAAGGGAAATAATTCCAGAGTCTCCTTGCTTCCCAAAATTAAAAACTCTCCGTGTATCACGCTGTGGTAAAATGGAATATGTCTTCCCTGTCCTCGTGTCTCTAACTCTTTTGAGTCTGCCAAAGCTGGAAATCCTTGACATAAGATATTGCGGTGAATTGAAGCATATTATCAGAGAAGAGGATGGTGAAAGGGAAATAATTCCAGAGTCTCCTTGCTTCCCAGAATTAAAAACTATCATCATAGAAGAGTGTGGTAAACTGGAATATATCCTCCCTGTCTCTGTATTTCCAAGCCTGCAAAAGATGCGGATTCTTAAAGCTCATAATTTAAAGCAAATATTTTACAGTGGAGAAGGAGATGCACTCCCCACAGATGGCATCATCAAGTTCCCTCGACTAAGTGAATTGGTTCTTTCTTCCGGATCAAATTACAGCTTCTTTGGTCCAAGGAATTTTGCTGCCCAATTGCCTTCCTTGCAAATTCTGAGAATCGATGGCCACAAAGAGTTGGGAAATTTGTGTGCACAGCTCCAAGTACGTCCTTTATATTTCTCCAATAATTTTTGTTCCTTTTTAATTTAAATTGTCAACTTCAATACATGTTGATTTCTTCCTTTAAATTTCTGAAACTGGAGTAATTGATAAATCATTTAGCCATCCACTAAATTGAAAAGGAGTTGTCTAAGTGTATCATTCCCTGTCTCTTGACGCAGGGCTTAAGAAGTAAGAAGTTAATTATTGTAATGAAATCCTACTTAGATTTTTCAATCTTTATGCTCTCCAAGTTCGAGTGAAATTGAGGCTCTTCCCCCAATTAATAGAAGTATTTGAAGAGGAAGATAAACCTCCATCTGCTAATATTGAGTTGTTTGTTTCAGTCCTGCAGCTTATGATTTCATATTCCCATGCCCTGTTGCCATGTCTACTTATATCCTTTTGTTGATAAATTTTTGGCTGAAGTATTGGGGACAATTCGTTCATCTATTTACCAATATATGTTACATATTCCAAAGTGCACAAAATTTGGTAGGAATTATATCTAACAAATTTCTTTTGATGCTTGCAACCTCTGCCTGACACGAGGTGTATATGGAAGGGAACTTTGGAGGTTCTATCTGGATAAAAATTAGTCAAGTCTGTCTACTAAAAACAACTTTGCACAGAATAACAAATGATTTTTATACAAAAGAACATCAAATAACTTCACAAAAAAATTATTAATATATAAGAGCATATATTTTGTGTTGTATTAACCTTTCTTTCGCAAACATCTAATTATTATTCAACTTATCTCTAATTAAGAAAAAAACTGAAACAATAATATGTAATCTCTAAGAAGTATTTAATCCTGTTTTTTCTATTCCTTTTTCTCCTATTTATACATCATATAAATTGTTTTTGTGAGAGTGAAAAAATATAATATTTTTCTCTGATAAGATGACCGTCCATGGGCAGCAAAACGGCTTCTTACAAAGATTAGAATCTGTACAAGTGGGGGGTTGTGGGGATGTTCGCAATCCGTTTCCAGCAAAATTGCTGCGAGCTTTAAAAAATCTAAGCACTGTGGAAATTAAGGTCTGCCAATCATTGGAAGAGGTATTTGAATTAGGTGAGCCTGATGAAGGAAGCAGTGAAGAGGAGGAGCTACCGCTTCTGTCATCTTTAACCAAGTTAAAGCTGTACTGGTTACCTGAGCTCAAATGCATATGGAAGGGGCCCACCGGACATGTCAGCCTCCGAAGTCTTAATTTTCTGCATTTGGATTCTCTCCACAAACTGACATTTATCTTTACACCGTTCCTCGCTCAAAGTGTGCCACACCTAGAAAGCCTTTACATAAGTGAATGCGGTGAATTGAAGCATATTATCATAGAAGAGGATGGTGAAAGGGAAATAATTCCAGAGTCTCCTATCTTCCCAAAATTAAAAACACTCCTTATATCTCGCTGTGGTAAACTGGAATATGCCCTCCCTGTCTCTGTGTGTCCAAGCCTTCTAAACCTGGAAGACATGTGGATTTTTGAAGCTCATAATTTAAAGCAAATATTTTACAGTAGAGAAGGAGATGCACTCGCCACAGATGTCATCATCAAGTTACCTCGACTAAGAAAATTGTCTCTTTCTTCCATATCAAATGACAGCTTTTTTGGTCCAAAGAATTTTGCTGCCCAATTGCCTTCTTTGCAATATCTTAAAATCGATGGCCACAAAGAGTTGGGAAATTTGTGTGCACAGCTCCAAGTACGTCCTTTATATTTCTCCAGTAATTTTTGTTCCTTTTTAATTTAAATTGTCAACTTCAATACATGTTGATTTCTTCCTTTAAATTTCTGAAACTGGAGTAATTGATAAATCATTTAGCCATCCACTAAATTGAAAAGGAGTTGTCTAAGTGTATCATTCCCTGTCTCTTGACGCAGGGCTTAAGAAGTAAGAAGTTAATTATTGTAATGAAATCCTACCTAGATTTTTCAATCTTTATGCTCTCCAAGTTCGAGTGAAATTGAGGCTCTTCCCCCAATTAATAGAAGTATTTGAAGAGGAAGATAAACCTCCATCTGCTAATATTGAGTTGTTTGTTTCAGTCCTGCAGCTTATGATTTCATATTCCCATGCCCTGTTGCCATGTCTACTTATATCCTTTTGTTGATAAATTTTTGGCTGAAGTATTGGGGACAATTCGTTCATCTATTTACCAATATATGTTACATATTCCAAAGTGCACAAAATTTGGTAGGAATTATATCTAACAAATTTCTTTTGATGCTTGCAACCTCTGCCTGACACGAGGTGTATATGGAAGGGAACTTTGGAGGTTCTATCTGGATAAAAATTAGTCAAGTCTGTCTACTAAAAACAACTTTGCACAGAATAACAAATGATTTTTATACAAAAGAACATCCAATAACTTCACAAAAAAATTATTAATATATAAGAGCATATATTTTGTGTTGTATTAACCTTTCTTTCGCAAACATCTAATTATTATTCAACTTATCTCTAATTTACTCCAATAATCTTTTTCCTCTTTAATTTAAATTATCAACTTCAGTACGTGTTGATTTCTTCCTTCAAATTTCTGAAACTATAGTAATTGATAAGTAGAGATAAATCCTTTAGCCATCCACTAAATTTAAAAGGAGTTGTCTAACAGTATCTTTCCCTGTCTCTTGATGCAGGGCTTAAGAAGTAAGAAATTAATTATTGTAATGAAATCCTACCTAGATTTTTCAATCTTTGTACTTTCCCAGTTTGAGTGAAATTGAGGCTCTTCCCCCAATTAATGGAAGTATTTGAAGAGGAAGATAAACCTCCATTTGCTAATACTGAGTTGATTGTTTCAGTCCTGCAGCTTATGATTTCATATTCCCATGTCTTGTTGCCATGTCTACTTCTGTCCTTTTGTTGATAAGTTTTTTGCTGAAGTTCATATGGACAATTCGTTCATCTATTTACCAAAATTATATAGTTCAAAAGTGCACAAAATTTCTTTTGATGCAGGGGTTGTCAAATTTGGAAACATTAAGCTTGAAGTCTCTGCCTGACATGAGGTGTATATGGAAGGGAACATTGGAGGTAATCTATCTGGATAAAAATTAGACGAGTCTGTCTACAAAAACAACTTTGCACGGAATAAAAAATGATTTTTATACAAAAGAACATCAAATAACTTCACAAAAAAAATTATTAATATATAAGAGCATAAATTTTATGTTGAAAATTTTGAAGTCAATTAAAATATCTTTAAAAATTTATTAACTTTATAACTAAAATAGAAATCTTAGTTAGTATTTATTTTTTATTTTTTACATGAAACTAATTATTAGGAGTTGTAGTGACCTTTTTTTCGCATAAAACTGAAACAATAATATGTAATCTCTAAGAAGTATTTAATCCTGTTTTTTCTACTCCTTTTTCTCCTATTTATACATCATATAAATTGTTTTCATGAGAGTGAAAAACTATATTATTGTTCTCTGATAAGATTGGCCGCCTATGAACAGCAAAACGGCTTCTTACTAAGATTAGAATCTGTACTGGTGAACAATTGTGGGGATGTTCGCGTTCTGTTTCCAGCAAAATTGCTGCCAGATCTGAACAATCTAAGGAAGGTGGAAATTAAGGATTGCAAATCATTGGAAGAGGCATTTGAATTAGGTGAGCTGCCTGATGAAGGAAGCAATAAGGAGAAGGAGCTGCCGCTGCTGTCATCTTTAAAAGTGTTACTGCTGCGAGGGTTACCTGAGGTCAAATGTATATGGAAGAGGCCCACCAAGCATGTCAGCCTCCAAAATCTTGCTGTTCTGATTTGGATTCTCTCAACAAACTGACATTTATCTTCACACCGTCCCTCGCTCGTTGTCTGCCAAAGCTAGAAAGACTTTACATAAGTAAATGCGGTCAATTGAAGCATATTATCAGAGAAGAGGATGGTGAAAGGGACATAATTCCAGAGTCTCCTGGCTTCCCAAAATTAAAAGATATCTTCATAGAACGCTGTGGTAAACTGGAATATGTCTTTCCTGTCCCTGTGTCTCTAACTCTTCAAAGTCTACCACGGCTAGAAACACTTGAGATAAGAGATTGTCATGAATTGAAGCATATTATCAGAGAAGAGGATAGTGAAAGGGAAATAATTCCAGAGTCTCCTTGCTTCCCACAATTAAAAACTATCATCATATCCGAGTGTGGTAAACTGGAATATGTCTTCCCTGTATCTGTGTCTCCAAGCCTTCTGAACCTGGAAAATATGCGGATTCTTAAAGCTCATAATTTAAAGCAAATATTTTACAGTGTAGAAGGAGTTGCACTCACCAGAGATGCCATCATCAAGTTCCCTAAGCTAAGAGAATTGTCTATTTCAAACTGCAGCTTCTTTGGTCCAAAGAATTTTGTTGCCGAATTGCCTTCCGTGCAATTTCTAGAAATTGATGGCCACAAAGAATTGGGAAATTTGTCTGCACAGCTCCAAGTACGCCCTTTATATTACTCCAATAATCTTTTTCCTCTTTAATTTAAATTATCAACTTCAGTACGTGTTGATTTCTTCCTTCAAATTTCTGAAACTATAGTAATTGATAAGTAGAGATAAATCCTTTAGCCATCCACTAAATTTAAAAGGAGTTGTCTAACAGTATCTTTCCCTGTCTCTTGATGCAGGGCTTAAGAAGTAAGAAATTAATTATTGTAATGAAATCCTACCTAGATTTTTCAATCTTTGTACTTTCCCAGTTTGAGTGAAATTGAGGCTCTTCCCCCAATTAATGGAAGTATTTGAAGAGGAAGATAAACCTCCATTTGCTAATACTGAGTTGATTGTTTCAGTCCTGCAGCTTATGATTTCATATTCCCATGTCTTGTTGCCATGTCTACTTCTGTCCTTTTGTTGATAAGTTTTTTGCTGAAGTTCATATGGACAATTCGTTCATCTATTTACCAAAATTATATAGTTCAAAAGTGCACAAAATTTCTTTTGATGCAGGGGTTGTCAAATTTGGAAACATTAAGCTTGAAGTCTCTGCCTGACATGAGGTGTATATGGAAGGGAACATTGGAGGTAATCTATCTGGATAAAAATTAGACGAGTCTGTCTACAAAAACAACTTTGCACGGAATAAAAAATGATTTTTATACAAAAGAACATCAAATAACTTCACAAAAAAAATTATTAATATATAAGAGCATAAATTTTATGTTGAAAATTTTGAAGTCAATTAAAATATCTTTAAAAATTTATTAACTTTATAACTAAAATAAAAATCTTAGTTAGGATTTTTATTTTTTACATGAAACTAATTAT